ATTCTGCCAACGACTTCAAGGTGTATTCTTCTCCAGAGCCTCCAGAAAGGACAACAGCCTTGCTGACACTTTAATTTTAGCCTTGTAAGACCCAAAGCAGAGAACCAGACATGCCACGCTGTACCTGAACTTCGGACTCACAGAAACTGTGATATAATAAGTAAGCTTTGTTTTACGCTACTAAGTTATTCATATGATTTATATTATTACAGTAATAATAAAAATAATACAAAAGATATACCATAGTCATGGACTGAAAAACTCCCTAGAGAAAAGATGTCAATTCTCCTCCAAATTGACAGATTTAATGAAATTCAAATAAAAAATCCTAGCAAGAATTTACTTATAAATTTAGACAAGCTGATTATAAAATTTATATGGAAATAGAATACTTTAAACATTGAAAAGCATTTTGAAAAAGAAAAATAAAGTTCTAAGAATCACACTACAAACAACCCAATTTCAAAATGTCAAAAATCTTAGAGATACTTTACCAAATAGGATACAGTAGTTCCCCCTTATCTGCAGTTTTGCTTTCCATGGTTTTAGCTACCCAAGCTCAACTGTGGTTGGAAAATATTAAATGGGAAATTCCAGAAATAAACAATTCATACATTTTAAATTGCACACCATTCTGAGTAGCATAATGAAATCTCTCACAGTCCCACTCCATCTAGCCTGTGATGTGAATTGTCCCTTTGTCCAGAGTAGCCTCACTGTATAGGCTACCTGCCCCTTTGTCACTGGGGAGCCATCTTGGTTATCAGATTGACTGTCCTGGTATCTCAGTGCTTGTGTTCAAGTAACCCTTATTTTACTTAATAATGGCGCCAAAGAGCAAGAGTAGTGATGCTGGCAATTCAGCTGTACCAAAGAGAAGCCATAAAGTGCTTCCTTTAAATGAAAACATATGTATGTATATAGAGAAAAAACAAACAAACATATGTAGGGTTTTCGGATATCTACTGTGGGACTTGGAACATATCCTTTGCAGATAAAAGGGGACTGACTATATTCAGAAAGTAAATTAACATATGAAAAGATGTTCAATATTATTAGCCATAGGAAAATGAAGATTAAAACCACAAACTTAGATACCACTACACACCATTCAGAATAACTAAAGAAGCATTGACAATACCAAGTGCTAAAGAGAATACAAAACAACCAGAATTCTCCTACTGCTGGCACTACAAAATGGTACAGCCTCTCTGGAAAACAATTTGGCAGTTTCTTATAAAGTTAAACATAGTCTTGCGTTAGGATCTAGCAATCCCACTTCTAGGTATTTACCCAAGAGAAGTGGAAACTTATGTTCACACAAAAACCTAGACACAAATGTTTACAGCAGCTCTATTATTAATTTTCCCAAACTGGAAACAATGCAAATGTCCTTCAACAGGCAAATGCATAAACAAACTCTGGGACATCCAAAAAATAGACTACTTTTCACCAATACAAAGCAATGAGCTGTTGATAAGAACTTGGATGAATCTCAAAAGCATTATGCTAAGTGAAAAAAAGCCCATCTCAGTAGGTAAGGACTGTCCAGTTCCATTTAAATGACATTCCCCAAAAGACAAAATTAGAGTGACAGAGAACAGATCAGGGGCCAGAGGTAGTAGGAGGGTGTGACTCTAGAGGATTAACACAAGGGAGCCATTTGGGGATAGAAAAGTTCTGTATCCTGATTGGGGCAGATTAAATGAGTCTATACAAGAGTTATCACTAATAAAGCTGGATTTCAAAAAAACTACATTTTATTGTATGTTAATTAAAAAATATTTTTAAAGCGGTATCATTTTTCTTTTTTTAAAAAAGCTCCACAGATGATTTGTGAACCCTTTTAGACAGTTTAAATAAATGAAAACTCTTTTAACCTAAATACGGTTTCTATTTTCAACATTTACTTTGAAAATAACATAGTCCTGTTGTTAAGTACCGAATGTTCCAGAAAAGTCTAGCAGTACAGGCGCATAGAGAGATCAATGAACTGTCCCAACTTTCAGCCTACCAAGCCAGTGCTGCTAATCTTGATACAACAGCAGAGTCAAAGTTCATACCAAAACACATTATTAGCACACTCCTCTTAGATAGCTCTTTCTCTTTCTTACGAAATAGCTTCAAAGTGTTTGGAACTCTGAGAAGACATATATAACATAATATGCCACCTGCCATCTTTAGGAGCTTGGAATAGGATGTGAACAGATTGACTTCCTTTTGTTCCTTAATATCCTGAATAGAAACCGCTCTGTGGGGTGAGGGAAGAAATAACATTAAGTCTCATCTTGCACAAGAGAGAACTAGAACTAGGTATTCAGTGGGGTGAAGGTGAAAGGGAACTGAACTTGGAGTTCTAAGCTTGACTGTTTGATCTCGGACAGCCTAAGAGACGAGAAGAATATTCACAGCAACCACTTAGCTCAAGTTACAACCTGGTCATTGTTTTGATGTCTAATTTAAGATTGACATGCTAGGCAGGCATTCATGGACACTTCTCAATGAGAAGAAAAGTGCTTCACTGTACCCTTTCTTTAGTGGGTGGACAACTTAATGATGAAGTATTCTGTGCTTAGGGAAACTGAGGGAGTGGTTTTTCATGGGGGTGATGGGAATGAATACCTATCTCATCAGTTATTTGGGAGGAATGTCCTTGATAATTTCTATAGAGCGATTAGCACTACTGTCCAGGAACGCAAGTATCCCTCAATAAATACTTGTTTTCATTAGCCCTTATTAAATGAGATGATATATGTGAATCACATGAGAAACTGTGGAACAACAGACAAATGTGAGCTACCATTAACATTATTTACAAAAAAGAGCCAAAGTTACTTGGTTCAAGTTGACCATTGACCACAGGCAAAACTAGCCATGTCCTACACTTTGCATATGCTAGTTCCAAGTTTACTGCTCTGTTCCCAAATGTTTCAGAGAAGACAGTCATTGTTGTAAGTCTTGCCTCTGTAACATACAAAAAAAGCCAAGATTGTTATGATATGTTCTACAATGGTTTTTTTAAATTTATTTTTCAATTACGGTTGATATACAATATTATATCAGTTTCAGGTGTACAACATAGTGATTAGACATTTATATGCCTCATGAAGTGATCACCCTGATAAGTCTAGTATCCACCTGACACAATGAAACTTGAACTTGGAAAAATCATACTCCAGGAGGTTCCCCTTCCCTAGTTCCCAAATACCTCAGTTTTTAATGGAAGTAAAAACGTCTGGCCTAACTAACTCATAGGGTGGTTGTCGGAGATCAAATGGTATGACACGCAGAAGGAAAATTTGTAATTATAAAGTGCTATACTAAGATAAAGTGTTATCACATTGGTTTTATGGAATAAGCTGGGCTTTTTGTTTGTTTGTTTAAATCTGAAAGAATCTGAGGGAGTACTTAATTTATAACTAATTCAATTGCCAGCTTACCTTTGGCAATACTGACAGGGAGGGGCAAAAGTGAGACTTCTAAGGTCTGGTAATGTTCTATTTCTTAGTTAGATGATGGCTACATGATGATGCATTTGCAAAAATGAATCAATCTGTGCAATTACCACTGACGTACTTTACTGTTAATATGTTATGCTTGTGTAAAAAAATTATGGAAAAACTTTTTCTTGATTGACGTTAAAGGGTGGTTTAAAACCACAGGGAAGGGTTAGAAAAGGGTGCAGGATAGCATTATGTACAACCTTTTAAATCAAGAAAGCAGCTTAAAATCCAACACAGAATGCGACAATGTGTCATGTCAGGGAACTTCAAGGCTGGGGACGGGGTAAGAACATTTATGATGAATACTCGTATACTTAACATTCCTTCTACTTCATGCAACACATGTTTACCAAGCTCTGGACGCTGTCTAAGGGAAAAGGAGGGAGGGGAAGTGCCATGTCCCCATGGAGCCGATGGTGCAGACGCGAGAGCAGTGCTGCCGCAGAGGCGTGTGAGAGCACAGAAGGGGGAGAGGTAGCTCGGTGGAGAAATGTGACGTCATACAAGGTTCAAGTAGGGAATTGGGTGGTAATAACCAGCAAAGACACAAAACAATCCTGTCACCTTATAGACTAAGATGCAGTCACCTCCAGGTTAGGAAATTCATTACTGTCCCCAGCATAGAAAAGCTTCTTCGCCATCGGGGGTTTACTCCTCTTAAATTTCATATAATGACATTGACACTAATAACCTCTCTAATTCAAAGGGATGGTCTGAAGATCACGATCCTGTCTGTGAGGCTCTCAAGAGAAAGACACCATCAACACGCTGTGAGAGAGGCCACAGGCAACAAAACGGTAGCCAAGTTTTCATAGATTTCTCCATAAAGACTGTGTACATTCTCGCTTCTGCAGCCACAGAATCAAATTTTGTTCAAATCTCGTATTTATTGAGCCCCTCTTTCATACACTGTAACAGAAACTGCAGAAATAAACGCATTTCTTATAATCATAGATCACACAGTTTGGGAGCATAGTCAGACTTATAAACACAAAAGAAAAAAATTTAAAAAGTAGTGAAAAGAACAAATAAATGATCAAGTTCCATGCGATTCGCACCAAAGTACATGATGAAAAATATCATATCACATAGTGAGCGCTCTGCCAAAGGACAACGTGGCCAAATTGATTTTGAAAAGTAACATGTCCCATATCTCTTTCTTGGAGATTCACAGTACACATTAGCATTGTAAAAGCTCTGGTCACCTACCAAGTAAATGTTGTGGTAGATTTGTTTTAACACCACATTAACCATAGTTATTTGACCATGAACTCCTTTTTTTTATGCATTCAACCTCTTAGGGTTTCACTGGAGATACCGATATTGATAGTTAAAGCTCTAATTAGAGGAGAAGGAACCCAAACCCCAATTCCCAGATCAATCCTCAATCCATAAGATGCGGATGCTTTTCAAAATCATCCAGTTCCCCTTGAGACTAAACTGGCTTTCCCACAGCAGTCAAACACCCCTCCGCAGCCTTTCCTGGCTCTCTCTTACCTTGCTGCTGACGAGAAGTGAAGTACGCCTTTTCTAAAAACTCTGGGCAGCTAGTTGTATCTCCCTTAGAGCCCTGAGAAATTTCTGTCCTGATTTGTTTTATTTAGGTTTCCCTCTTTTTACCTCGCTTTTTGGACGAGGACGCCAAGTTTGTGTGCACAGTACATGGCCCAATGTGTTTATACAATAAGCACAAATAATTATAGGGCAACTGCTGGGTAGTAGAAAGAACCCCCCCCCGCCCTGTTTAGTTTGCTGCTGGCCACTCTTTAACTGTGTGCCCTTAGATAATTTACTCAACCCCTGTGGACCCTGGATCCTTATCAACAAAATCAGATAACAAATATTTACTTCATAAGCTGCTTTAAAGGTCCAATCAGATAATATTTATGAAAAAGTCTTCATAACTGGTGAAGAGTGATGCAAAATAAGGTGTCGATACGTTACTTTACACTGGTTGTGGCACGCGCACTAGACTCTTTAGCAGGGCCAAAGGTCATCCAGAGGTCGTAGTGTCCTCCAGGGGTGGGTTTGAACAGACATCACTGTGAGCTCTGTGACTTCTCAGGATGCTTAAAAAGTGAACCTGTCTTCAGAAATTAGCCTGGGATGGATCTCAGCCATCCTTGGTCTCACAACATAGTCAGTTGTCCTTTCACAAGAGCACATCCCCAGGTCCCCCCCCCCCCCGACTTCTGTCAGCAAAAATGATTGGCTTGCTAGGGAACATCTATCAGACTCGATTTCGCCTGCCCTACTGTTCAGGAACCCGGAAGCTTTAGTAGCTGCAACTACTCAGACCCTGCAGCACTCAGAAGCTCCTCATTCTCAATTACACAGAGAAACAGAGGCGTGAGTCTGGGGCCTAGTACTGACTCTTGCATTACTTGGCTGTGTGACTTTGCGTGGGCACTTCATTGTCCCTGTGCCTCTGTTTGCACAACTAGCTTTATTAAGAGTTAAAGTCAAAAGGCAAATTAGAACTTGCACAGAATTCTTACCATGTACCGGACCGACACTGTGCCAATTACAAGAAAGCACGGGGCTTTGGGATAGCCCCCACCTCCATCACTCTGTCTGCTGGAGAACTCAGCCCATTAGGCTTCCTCCTCATCCCCATCTGCATCCCCTATCGTGTCCCCAAGATGCAAAGATAATATTGCAAGTTCTTCCTGGGAACCCTCATAAGCCAAAACTAGATAGCTTTAAAGGAAATATCATCTCTCTGTATCTAAAGTGTTAAAGAAAATCCCCTTCTGAGCTAACACTGAGGAGGCCTGTGTGAGTCTGTGTTCCTGTTGAGAAAATTCTATGGCTTCTTTCATGGATTTTTGGACACCATGATCATCCTGACAGATGGCAATGTGCACCCACCAGTCCCGTAGTCTGGGATGTGACCTCAGTCCACCAGATCACTCTGGATGGAGGAAAGGGTTGGGGGTTTCTGGCCAAAGTTCTTTACATATGCATTTGACTTTTGGTGACTTTATTGCAAATAAAGTAAGAGCATGCATTCAATCACCTTTTTTTCATCAGAATGAGAATGAGCTGGAATTCTGTAGTGCTATTATTTACTGATCCACAAACTACTAAAAACTGAAGTGACCCTAGTTTCAGCAAGTATGCTTTATCTTCACCATACAGTTACTTAGATAAAAACAGTACTCTCAGAGAGAGGTTCTCAAGCTGTGCTTAATAATGAGGTTTTAAAATGCTTTGATAAGAAAATTAAGCAGCAGGGCAAAACTTATACTAAATATTTACACACACACACACACCAGGGGTGCCAAAAGAACGTATACATATGACGTATCCATCTTTTGTAATTGGTATATATTGAGTATTACAGTTTTAATACACTTTTTTTCCTTTCTTAAAATGTGTATACATTTTTTTGGCATTCTCTGTATATGTGTGTGTGTGTGTGTGTGTATACATATACACAGTACAAGCCGGGTATTTTGTGGCTGCAACATAAACTTTTCAGGAGCATTTTTTCCAACGCAAAACTAATAAATAGTAACTAAGCACCTACTACTTGGACTTTGTGCTGAATGCTAAAAGATAAAACAGATTTCAACATGTCCCAGGCAACCCAAACTCACAACTGAGTAGGGTCTCCAACAGGCATGTTGCCAATTTTGACCTTGTAGTTAAAAGCCCCTTCTTTTATTGGGGTGACAATGGTTAGTAAAGTTACATAGGTTTCAAGTATACAATTCTGTAATACATCATCTATATATCACATTGTGCATTCACCTCCCAGAGTCAGTTTTCCTTCCATCACCATATATTTGATCCCTTTACCCTCATCTACCACCCCTGCTCCCCACTTACCCTCTGGTAACCACTAAACTATTGTCTCAAAAAAAAAAAAAAGCCCCTTCTTTTCGTTATATGTTCCAATCCCTGACTCTGCCACTTCGTACCTGTGAGGTGTTGAGTGCATTACATAACCGGTCTGTGGTTTAGTTTCCTTAACTGTAAAATGGGGGAGAATAACAGTACCTACCTCATATGTTTGTTGACGGAATTATGAGTTAACATATATGAAATGCCTAAACGAATATTTGCTGTTGTTATTTCTTTAACTGTACAAAGCAGTTTAGCTGTGCTTGCTCATGCTATTGTTAAGTGTACAAATGAGTCCAAGCAACATGCTCTGAGGAGCGAATCACTTGCATTTTAATGGGGGGAGGGGTTGGGGCTGGGCTGGTGTTACTGCTGGACTGGTGAAGACAGGTAACACAATGAAGTGCAGCCACGCATAAGGAAGAAAGACATTTAGGGAAAAATTAAAATAAAACAAGTCTTACTTTTTACCACTGAGCATAGAACAGGGAGGAAACTTGTTGAAAACCACTAATTAGATGAGTATTATCCTACAGTTATGAAGTCCCTAAAACCAGGGACTAGGAACAGCAATTAGACATAGGAATTGTATTCTGCACATCATTTCAAGGGCATACACTCCTTGAAGTTGCTACTCATATCAATGCCCAGTGACCACATTCTGCCCTAGGTAGCACTACTAGTGATGATCAGAATCAATAGGACATTACCCAAGCAATTCGGCCATAGAAAGCATGTTTGATTATGCTGACGCTGCCAGTTCAAGAATGGAAGGCTTTCTCATTAACAAAAAACATAAATATTTAAAACAGTTTGCCATTCATTAAGTTATTTTTTTTTCCACACACATATTCACTTAAGCCTCTGAAGACTGTCAGGAGTTTGGTATTTAATATCAATCTTATTTTACGGAAAAAGTAGCGATTTCTTCAAAGTGGCACAGATAATAATTAGTAAAATGTGTTCAAACTCGGATTATCTTGCCACTGCATCTCATATATGCTCCCTTTCTGCTTTTGGTGTCCTTACTTTAAAGGTTTGTATTAGAGACATGGGGCCACAGAAACACGATTTTCTACTGGAGTCTGAACGTCTATCTCCTGCTTAGCAAACAATCTCAGTATCCATTCTGTCCTGAAGAAAACCTCATGTTGCTTCAAATCATTGATCTGTAACTGTCCCCAACAACACGACCTAAACGCCTCCCATGGCCCTGGGAATTTTAAATAAGAAGTCAATGAGCGATGCTGGTAAGTAGTTCTGTAATTGTCTAGGGGTGGCTAAAACCTTGGTGGAATAATAATCATATCAATATGCTGCCGACATGAATGACCCTCCACTGAAGTACAACAGGGCACTTCAACTCCAAAACCTTAGGTGGCACATCTGCATAATTAATCTCACTCTGCAATAACCCTGCAGGGTCAGCAAGATCGGCGTTCTGTAGCCGAAATTAATGTCTTATTATTTCAGTCCCCTTTGGTGTTTCTTCAGCTTCAGGAAAATAATAGAAGACACAGCAGCTCTGTTGATACAGGCAGGGTTTTAAAGGATCACCAAGTTACAAAAATATCCTCACATAAATCTTGGTAGGTAGACAGGTGATGAATTTAATACATAGTTCTAATACACCTACTCAATGCAAGGCTCTTGAGATATATATTTTATTCTTAGATTAATTTAGACACTCTGAAGGCCACATATTGATCCATATTGTCCAGCTAGGGCCTCTACAGAGTGATTTTTTTTTAAATTATATTTTGGTACCGTGCCTTCATTTGAGAGCAACGTTAAGTTATTAATATTAGGTGAAAATTAGGTTAAAAGTTATCTTTTGCTACAGGATGGCTCAGGGTTTTTTGAATGCTAATGTACACTGTGAGACTAAATTACTTAGGGATCATTTACAGTGCTCCTCAAACCTAATTGACTTTATGAATTCTTGTTTAAAATATTTCCAAGCACTAGGATTCTTGGCAGAGTTTAGAAATGCTGACTGAAGTTCTTTCAGAAAAAAAAAAAAAGGGGGGGGGTTTCATCTGTATAAGGTACCAGCAATAGACCAAGCTGTGAGGAATGCCTGAAAATTCTCTCATGGGGCATATTAGAAAAAATGCCTAGTGAGGTATGGGTCATGAATTCTTAATTGGGGAAAAAAGTGGAAAATTCAAATCAATTTTCTAATTTACTAAGCCATCCCTGTGGCAAGCTGTTGGAGAAACAATAGCATAATGACCAGCTGAAATGAGACATAAGACATGCTGCTGGATTTAAGTGTGGTAATGCTATGCTCGGCCAGTAAAGCTAATTGGAGTTGATTATGGTTCCACTTCTAGCATTTTGGATGCTTACAGACTGTGGCCAAATCAGAACATTGGCTGCCATAGAGAAAGAGTAGGAAAACAGAGGGGAGCTATTATTTCTTTGATTATAAAAGGAGTCAGCACAGATGAGGAGATCAGCAAATAACCCTTTCACCTCTGTGACCTTAATATAGGCTAGAAACAATCAAAATGCTATTATTTTTAATTGGTCTGCCCTTCTCTGAAAAAAAGAAAGATGTAGAAAAGGCTGACCTAAAAACCACTGATTTTTTTTTTTGCATGGAAATATTCTTTCCACGGATGCTTGAAAAACAGACTAAAATCTTGTTCTCAAAAGACAAAATTAAATTAAATTAAATTAAATGTTTACCACATCACACACAAAAAAAGGTTGTAAAAGCCTTAGGAAAGTTTTGGGGGCCATAGGGCGCCTGTAAAGGC